TGCAGTACTAATTATCTAGTAGAACACATGTTCTAGAACTTTCTCATGCACTTTTTGTAGATTTCTAGGAAAACAATCAGTAAAATGAAAGATTTGATTATCCATGCCTAATATTCTTCATTCTTGTAATCCTGTATTGGATTCATGCTTTCATTCTCTAGCATGGTGCTGTCAATTGCTAAGTACTTGTGGTTTGGACTTTTTAAAACCTGATTTTAATTTTGGGGGAAGAAAAGTAAATAGAAAAGCAGTAGACAAGCATAACTGTATACTACATTTACTGTTGTGTTTTCTTATAACAATCAGGGAAAGTTTACATGGAGCAGCTCACTGAAATGACAAGACTGGTTTTTAAACTGAAGGAAGTAGAAAACATCCTCTCAAAGGCTCATGTCGAAGAGTCATTTTTCAAGCAAGACCCTAAAAACGCTCTTGTCCAGTTTATTAAGGTACCATACTTTTGTGCTAGCTCATAGGATAATTTAAGAGAAAGAGGATTATATATAGTATTTTGGTTTTGTTTTCAAGAAGAAATTACTCACCCGAGTCTCAGGAGAGGTGAATAAATTTAATCTGGTGTTTATTTCAATGTCTGTTTCCTCAGGCTGTTGGAAAAACTTACAGTGGCCTTCAGACACTCCCTGAAAAATCTGCCATGGTAGCAAAGGCTCTGGAATACTTAGGTGACGTACTGAAGTACGTAAAACCTTACCTGAAGGTAAAAGGACCTCCAGAGGGCCTGCAGCTTACCTACTGGATCATAGGTAATTATTGCACACCATCTAGGAATGTATGTGACTTTTTGTACTTTTGTTTTATGTGTTGTCTGTGTAAAGGCCAGGTCACCAAGACAAAGCAGCCAAGTAAATAAAAGCAGAAACAACAACTTGGCAAAGCGGTTTTGTGCTCTGTTATGTTTACTGGAGTTAAGATAGCGGACAGGTCTGCTTATGGAAATCAGAGATGCTTCCTTCTAGAAGTGCTCTCCTTACGTGCTCTCTGTGCTTTATTAAAGCTCAGAGCCCAGTATCCTTCCACTGCAGTGTAAAACCAGTAATGGCATGCAAAAATAATCATGGTGTTTGTTATGAATGA